AAAAAAAACTGACTTACTCCATTTGGACAAATTACAAAAACTATCCTTGACAGAATCCAATTTGCAGAAAACAGAAATAAATATTAATGGGTCATTTGTATTTTCAGACTCAAATATTAATGATGAACTTGTACTCAACACACACATATAGATATGATGAGCTTTTAAAATATGCTCATATATATAGATATATGTTAAGGATGGATGTCAAGGATATGTTTGTAATTTTTAGTACTGCCCCAAAACGAACGCGTAAATTTCATCCCAACTCGAAACCGTATAAAGAATATTAGACGTACCCTTTGTACTAAAAACGCCATCTTCCGTAAGCTCTCTCTGTTTACTTACTAAACCAGAGAATAACGGGACAAACGAGACGCCATAGTGATTTCCCAGCTTCATTAGGCTTGTTCCCGAGCCAATGACGATGCCAATATCTGCCTCTAACAGACAGAGCAAGTCACCAACGGAGCCTCCAATGTAAACTGTGGATGTCTTACTATTATTTGTGTCCGGTTTTGCAACGTCGTTAAATGCACGAAGCTTGTCCATAGGTGATTCCATGTTTGTGATCATGTTGCCCGTGGAGATAGATTCTTCATAAACTAAGTCGTTGGAATGCACGTTTAACATAATTTGCTCATCTGTGTGGGGAAAAAAATAAAATCACGATTGAATTAGTGACGGGTAAATTACAAAATTTGTCTCATCGTAAGGTTTGAACTAATAATGAAGATTTCTAGCTATCTTTTGGGATGACGAGTACAGCTAAAGGGAGTATAAACAGCTTCATAAGAACATTTATGTGTGTTTAAAACAAAGGAAAAGGCAAAAGAATCAAACTTTTGCAATTTGTGACATTAAAACAAATCATGAGCACTTGTTTAATTGAAAGAAAATTGGACTTTCTTCGTCATAATACTGATATCCAAGGAGTAATTATGGTGACTAATCCAAAGCAATTTCTATATTCTCTTGAGATAGTTGCAAGAACCCCGGCAAATATAAAGAAACGTGGATATTTTATTTATTATTATTTTTTTTTTTAAATACAAAGTATTGTGATTACAAACCTGATGAAAAAGCAGACTTGATAAGATCACCAGACCAACAGTATGACAGCACATGAACATTCATCTTGGGATTCTTACTTTCCTTCAAATCCTCAAAGAATCTTTTACATCCTTCTTGAAAAGCCAGTTTCTCGCCAGCTCTTTTAATCTCCGCTCGATTTAGACCTTTCAACACATTACTACGGACCATTCTTGAGGTTGCTCGTTTCTCGACTTCCGATATTTGCTCAAGTGCTTTGCATAGACCTTCGTAATTGAGTCCATTACCTGCAAATAGATTAAAAAAATAACAGTTAAACATTTTGTCATCCCTATCAACTAATACAAGGTAAATTACAAAACGATCTTTAAAGTTCAGTCTAAACATTCGAATTAGTTAAAAGTAATGACATCAGCAACTTTCGGCCTGCGGAGAACACACAAGACAGAATCAAACATTACTTTTGCCTTCTTTTCGTTAAGTAGATAGTCGAGGGAAATGTTGTAACTCGTAACTAACCCACATATAGGATAAATTTGAATCGATAATTAACCAAACCTCGATTAAATTCCCCGATTCCTGCTTCAACCGACAAAATTTTATCAATGCATTGCTGATATTCTTCCACATACTGGCTGAAAAGACCGTTCCATGTCGACCGAAGATCCTCAGACTCACAAACATCGGCTGTCGCCAGTATTGCCAGCTCAGCCAATAGAGCAGAAGAGTCAATGGCTGTGCACGTCAGGTCAAAGTCGCAAAAAATGACAAGATTGCCCTCCTGGCCGGCATAATTGGGCTTGTGGAGACGAGAAAAGGGGAGTATGGTTTTCTGAGCAACTTGTAGAGACCATATGAACTCTAACTCGAGCTTCATGGCTCGATGGTAAAGCCTTTCCACCACATCTAATTCTTCCCCAGTCAACGATACACTCAATTTGTCGAGCAAGTCCTCAATGCTTGATGCCGATGCCTAAATTTAAGTTGGAGCAAGAAAATGCCACCGTTGGGAGAGTTTTATTTTCACGAGAAAATAGCCCAAAAGAGAAGTAAGAAAAAAGAACCACTATATCAATGTTAATCACACAAAGTACAAAAAGAACCACTATATTCATGTTTTGGTGTATTAGTTGAGCAAACAAGAAATGCGTAATTATCTAGTAAAATGAAGCTTTATTGAAAGTACGGTTTCCATATTAGTCAATTGCACAAATTACCGGTGAGGTTGAGACTTCAGAATACATATATATATATATATATGCAAAGTAAAGGAAAGAACATATCATCTTGATTACTTTCTTCCCTATTTTTACAGAATGCAGACTCAATACGTGATACTTTAATGCAGTATGTGTAGTTTGGAAAGATGATTCGTTTAATACGTGATACTTTAATGCGGTTCCTTTTGGTCATTTACCCTGTTTACAATTTCTTCATCTAAAAGTTAACAAATCCCAAGCATTTATTTATAAGGACACATTAACATCATTGATCGACAATCAAGCATCATCAAACAAACCTCGAACTTTTGAGAGGATAAACTGTCTAGCCACTTTTTGTAGACGTGATTACTCTCCTTGGGGTCAAGAAGAGCTAGGATCTCTTTACTGATAAAAGAATAGAGCCTCATGCATGGAGAAATCACGCTCAGAGTGTAGGCAGCAAGTTTAGTCTTCTCAAAAGGCGTAACAATATTAACAGAGAATTTCTCTCCCACGATTTTACCCGAGGCTGTCTCCATCAAGAATTCCGTGTATTTGGCTGTTGCATCATCTCGAGAACACTCTTTGGGTGGCTCAAAGCCCCACTCCTGAAAATTATCAACAAATAAAGTGATTTTAGAGCACGTCTGTGGTTAATATGGGTTGTAGCGAAAAGTTTTCCCTAAACGAAAGAAAAAAAATGCAGGAGAACAAGATTGTGAGAAAGATCCAAAAATAATGCTCCGAAAAATGTAGCTCATATTTAGCTCTGGGCTACTGAGTCTCACACATATTGATCTCTTTGTTCTTACAAAGATAGAGCTTACGAACAATCAACTAAACTACTCTTTTGGATTAGCCATATCACAAGAAAATCCCACTATATTGTTAAAATTGCAAGCACCCCCTTAATTTGTGTTCGTTCCCCTAACTAATACGGAACACCTATCGCTTATTCCCTTTGAGGGACGCGGACGCAATTTGTAAAAGTAAAACAAAATTGCCAAGGGTGCATCTTCCATATTTCTTTAGGCCACACTCAATCAGAAATAGTTTTCGTAACATCGTACGATGAAAAATGGGAAGATGAAGTATAAAGATGTTTGATCCATTACAGATATAAGTTTATCTTGATTCCTTAACCGTTTCAAGACGCGCATTCTCAACTTGCCAATGGCATCCTTGTCCTCATCATCATCTGCATATTCCTCTGCTAGCTCATACCTGCACGGGACGCGGCAGCAATCATAAACGATTTTAGGTGCGCCCGTAAAATACCACAACAAGCTCTAATATTTCTTGGATAAAATGGAATTGTTTCGTTTCATAGGCTTTTCACATGCATCTAACTAAATATTTTGCAACTATTCTTGTAATCCAGACAAATGCTTCTGTGTGCTACTTTTCAATCAACAATTCCCCACAAATTACTTCTCCCTTTTGGAATTGAAAACCAAACCTGTCCATAGAAAGGTTCTATCTATAGTACTTTTTCTCAGCTGTCACCAAAAAATAATCTGCCATAACTACTAAAAAGAACAAATTATACTTGCAAAGAATGGATTTTTTTTCAAACAGCAAAACATCAATATGATCACAAAACACAGGCACACACAACACACACACACACACACACACACACACACACAAACACACACACACACACACACAGAGAGAGAGAGAGAGAGGATTTACGCGCGAGCAAAAGATTGAAGAAAGTAGACATCCTGAGAGACGCAGTGAATGAAGGAATTTGGGTCCAAAGTGGCTGAGCCCAGACAAACTACAAATGGGCTGTAAAGGGCTAAAGCCCTTACATTTTGGAGCTTCTTCCATAGCCTTTTGGCTATTCCCTCAGAACCCACCATCTGCAAACTGCCCATCTTCCTCTTTTTCCCTCAGAATCGACGAAATGAACTAATGTAAGAAAAAAAAAAGATCACTTTTTTTTTTTGGTTTTCTTGAATGGTTGGTAGCCTTGGGACACCCAGACACGTGATTTTGATCGACAAGAGTGAAAAACTATAATAAAATATTATGATAAAACTACAGTGTCGTGTTCTTTTTTTGAGTTCTAAACCTTATTCTCCACGAGGACCACGATCAATGCAACTGTATTTATACATGTATTGAAATTCTTTTTTTATAAAGTCCAAAAGTGCAGGCAAGGAGGACAAATGCGCGTAAAACTCCAGAAAATATTGGGAAAATAGACTAGGTCACTAGAGCAGAAATGGTCTCCAGAGAGAGAGATTGTGTGTGTGTGTGAGAGAGAGAGAGAGAGAGAGAGATAGGGAAAGGGTGGAGGGCCGGCGGTCAACTGTGTGTGTTTTGGTGATGGAATTCTCGTGAGGCGGCGTGGTTATGGAGGAGCTTTTAATGTCATGGACAAGTTTCTCAAGACCTCCAACAATAGCAAATATTTTATGGAGCATCAGATAATTTTCTTATGGAGTCATCCATCAGTTAATATATTGACATATGTCTAAATTGTATTTATTGTGGGATACGTTTCAATACAATATTAGTGAATAAGTGTCGATTGCTCCATAAGCCGAGCCATCCGATGGCTCCATAGGGAAACTGCCAACAATTGACTTCACCAACATTGCATCTATACAACTTTAGCCAAATTTTTGACTTGGCTTTGTTTTGTAATAAAACACGTTCGTTCTATGTAGCGATTTTTCTCCTATGAGACCCCTAGTTCTAGAAATTGGATTCCTCACTTTTGTTTCTATCAGGTGTTCTTGTTCCTCTTGTGTTTTAGGTATCTTAGGGGCGCTTTGGGTTGATAAGTAAGATTTCTGGTTTTGGGTTGGTATCTTAGGGTTTCGAATCTGTATGCTTTGGTCTTATTGAGTGGATTCAGTGTGAGTTTATCGGGGTGTTATCCTTCTTGTGCGTCTTGTCGCCTTTTTCTTTCACTATTTCTTTGTGTGGAGTGGTTTGCCTAGCTCTTAGAGCCTTTGGTGGCACAATAGATCAGGCTATTTCGGAGAAGCTTCAAAGATTTAAGTTATCAGAAAAAAGAGGAAGTGGAGGTGGAATTACTGGTCGAGGACATAGCACCAGGGTTAAAGGATTTCCAGAGGAGTTTGATTGGTAATTTTTTTGGCGAGAAGAAATGGACCATTGATGGTAAGACTTGTTTCTCAAAGACTGGAATCCAAACTGCACTGACTAAGACTAGGAAAGGATCAAAATATGGGTGCAAATACACAATTTGTCCTTCCACTGGATAATTGTTGAGGCTGAGATGAAAATTGCTAGAAAACTAGGAAGAGAGATAGATGTGTTTGTGCCAGGGATGGACACTTGAATGGGAAAGTTGTCAAATGCTTTGTGAAAATTCAACTGAAGGATCCAATATTAAGGGGAACTAAAAGTTGGATCGGATAGCAAATGGTTCAACTTCAGGTATAAGAACCTCCAATCCTTTTGCTTCTATTGTAGTATAATAGGACATGGTGAAAGAAATTGTTCTATTAACCAAGAAGATGTCACTCCAAATGTGTTTAACCTATGTCAATATGAGGACTGACTAAGAGTCAACAACTCTAGTTTAAATGTCTCTAGAAATTCAAGATCCTCTCAGTAGTGTTCTAGGTGATCAAATCCCTAATCATGACTGAAGTTTAGCGACTATGGAAAAGGAAACAAAAAAATATTCTAGAAAGGATGATATGTGCAGTGGAATTTGTAATAACCATGTGGTTCTAAGATATCAGAATCTACAAAAGAGAAAAACAAAAAGAGGAGGAAAAATTTGGTAGGGGAGTTGTTTCTGGAAGTTGGGCCAGATAAATGGAAGAACGCAAAAAATCAAAAAACACAAAGCAAAAAATTAAAATAGTAAACGGAGATTCAGAAGACTTACTGATTGAAGACATTTGTGGCGGTGAAGAACAAGTGACTGCGGTGGTCAACAGGGTCTTTTCTCGCGAAAGTCAGTGAGTGCTATTTAACAGGAAACTTGAAAGCTTGGGAAACTTGTGCAAAGGGCGAAACAAAGAAAGGAAACAAATGAGAGTCTTTATAGTAAGAAGATCGTGAAGGTGAAAAGGTGGGTTAACCCTAGTCGTTCAATCAGAACGATATGGGCAATCCAGATTGAAATTCGTGCAGGTGAAAAGGTGGTCGAGCATGGTAGTTGGATCAGACCATAAATAAAAGAACGAGATGAATGCAGACAGTTGGAAGGACCACTCGAGGCAGACTATCGGATCCAAAGCAGAACGAACGGACATGATCAAGTGTACAATTAATGGGTACACTGCACAAGGCAGACGCAGACATCGAGGGGTTCACATCAATTGGACGGGTGTCAGGGTGACGTGTTGATTCATCGTTAATTCAAAATTTGAATTTTGAATTCAGAAGGAGGGTAGTAGGTCGAAAATAGTGGAAGTAGCATGAATATGAAGGTCGAGATCGCATGATAATAACTCAAAGCATCATAAGCAACGCGACTATCTACTCCTAAATCTGGTTAAAATAACTCGACTATAGTGGGGGGACAAGATGATATAGGATAGCTCACCAGGTCGAGTCGACCCGAGTAACAGGGGGTGACATTAGGTCGATCGGAAGCCAAAGGTTATGAAGGTCGAAACGGATGATGTGTGTGTGAATCGCCAATAGATCGAGCTAATAGCCTGTGAAAGTCCATGAGGAGTTCGACCTAAGGACATTTTAGGTCAAGTGATCGACCTAACGGACATAACACAATCTCACTGCGAACACTATTGTACCTCGAGGTAAACCAAATTAGTCGCAGGGTTAGACCGTTTGATAAGAAAAAAACTAAGAGATAAGAAGGAATCTTATGAGGATAAGAACTACAAGTGAATTGGACCACGTGACCTAACAGAATTGGACAATACAGAACGGGCAGTTTAGGCTATCCATCCGAAAAGTCTTGGCAACAAGGTATGTTCTCTCTATATAAGGGAGTAAGGTATGTCCAGTATTACATTACACTCTCTACAATTTTACATATTGTTGATCATCTTCTCCAGTGTGCTAACTTCAGCACCGGATGCTCTTCACCAAAAAACTCCTCTGGTGTCGAGTTTTTGCAGGTCTGGAAGGACGATCTACCGGCGAGGAGTTCAAATCAGATAGAAACTGAGTCGGTCGAGAATCATTTCATCATAGTTTGTATTTAACATTTAAAATATAATGAGTAAGGTAGATGTGATGTAATAGTTAAAAATACATGAATGGATGAATAGTAAATTAAAAGTGATGTGTAAAGACGATTGATTAATATTGTTTAATTATATTAATGATTTTGAAGAGGGTTGGATTAAATTAATCTAAAGTGAAATAGTGTAAAAAAATTATTCAATCAGACAAAATCGAACAAAATATGTAGCCAAATTATTCCAAACCACGCTTCAAAAATTAGCCAACATAAATTTCCTTTTTCGTCTTGATCGGTGGAATGCATTAGTTCATTATCAATTCAAAATGTGAATCGCTATTTACCGCCTCCCCCCTCCAATTACGTTTTTGCCCTTCACATTATCTCTCTACTTTCTCTCTCTACTCTGTCCCTCTCGACTTTTTACGGCTCTTTTGACCGTCAAAAAAATTTTGAAAAAATCCGCAAAAAATACCATGACATCGGCAAAATATTGAAGATTGACTATGTATTTTTTTTATATTTTTTTACTTTGTAAATAATTTTTAATTTTTTTTTATTTTTTTTTTTGCGCGTCCGGACGAAATTTCCAAACACCCATGGTGCGTCAGGTCCGTCTGTCCGGACACCCCATGGTGCGTCCGGTCCGTCCGTCTGGACGCGCAAAAAAAAAATAAAAAAAATTTAAAAATTATTTACAAAATAAAAAATATAAAAAAAAAATACATAGTCAATCTTCAATGTCTTGCCGATATCATGGTATTTTTTTCGGATTTTTTCGAAATTTTTTTGCGGTCAAAAGAGCCGTAAAAAGTCGAGAGGAAAAAAATATAGAGATAGTGTGAAGAGCAAAAACGTAATTGGAATGAGGACGGTGACTATTAAAAGGGGGACAATAAATAGTAATGCCCATTCAGAAAGATTAAGCACAAGTTGAGAAGGTTAATAACAATTCCCTCTTTTCCATCTAAACAAAAGGGCAAAATAGCAATTTCCTCTTTTTCATCTAAACAAGCAAAGTAGCAAATGCTCGAATATCACTCGCGGGAAAAAAGAACTCTCACAAAATGCTTTACAGGTACGTTACAAAATTCCACTGCAAAAATAAACTGGTTTTATTGCACGTGCCAAATTATTACAGAAAACAAAAAGGGGGCATCTTTTCTTAGTCTGGCAAATTCCTAATAAACCCTCTTCCCAACAAACTTATTTATCTCTATGTACAGAGACTTTTTCCCACGTTACAGAAGCCCCTGTTTCTCCTAAAAAGACGATGAATAAAATAAAAACTATCAGTATCCCCTAAGAGTTCAACTATTTAGCACTGGGGGGATACTTTTCTCACTTTTGTGCAAGACAAAATCCAGTCACCTTCCCAATTTTCGTCGTCTAATCTTTTCCAGCGCATTTCGTCAAGTAGCCCCAGCCCGGGATTTTTTCATCTGGAAATCTGCTTTTTGGATTGTAGAGCTTCATGATTTTTGGTATGCACTAAGAAAATCTCATGCAGGTTGGATCAAAAATCTTGAAAGCCATTTGATCTTGACGAGTATTCCGAGACGAGCTTGAGAAACATGGACGATTTATCCTCGAGTAGTCTTGCCGGAGTATCATATTCTGCTACTCTACCTGAGAAATGCACAAAATGCCAAACATTAACCATCTTTCTATAATGCAAAGTTGTCTCAATCTTTTATTTTTCAAAAAAACTCTTTTTCTATATACTTCTTTTTTTACAAGATGGGTTCTTTTGTGAGGAATTTCTTAAGCCTTTGTAGAAATTCTGTCATATTAATTTGGACTTTAACTTCAATAAGGTTTTTGAACAAGATTACGGAGTAGATAGCTTTACCGTCACTTAGGACCAAAACCAGGTCGCTATCAATAACTGTAGGGATACGGTGAGCAATTGTGCAAACGGTACAGTTTTTAAATTCTGTTCTTATAATCTTTTGGATGAGATTATCCGTGGCCGAGTCAACTGAGGCCGTAGCCTCGTCGAGCACCAAAATCTTTGCCTGTTTAAGCAGAGCCCGGCCCAAAGATACTAGCTGCCTTTGGCCGACACTCCAATTATCTCCATTTTCTAGAACTGCCAAAAGACAACCAAAAAAAATCTTATTTAGCCCTCAGAATGTGATGATTTTTTTCCAATTGGCCATATCTCCAGCAAGCTTTTACCTGGTGTGTCCAGTTTATGCTCTTTCTGGCGAACTATGTCTCCTAACTGCGACTTATCGAGTGCCTGCACCAAGTTTAAGAATACAAAGCTTTTAACATATAATATATCCAATTGCCTACATATATGACATTTAGCCTAATTACAAACACGGAGCTAGTTGTTTATAAATATTATGAACACAATTTCTATGTACTTGACAAATGCCCATCTCACAAGTGTGCAATTTGAAAAACAGACGTAAACGGAAAAATTTATAAATTGTTATTTTGAGAAAGCTAGATCTTTTCGAAATTGAACTACAACTTCAAGAGACAAGGGTATATTTGGGATTCAACCCACCATCCATAAACAGATTATATATAAGAAAAACAACGTAACATTGCTAAGGTTTGTGTCTAAATATTTTTATTAACAGCATTTAGTCTCTGAATGGGTATGTGTCCAAATGGTAGAATCTTATATTCTTCAAGACAATGCTCCCAAAAAAAAGGAAGAAATGTACCTCCCAAATTTCCTGATCCGAATGTTCTTCCAGGGGGTCAAGGTTGCCCCTAATAGTTCCTTCGAATAAAGTTGGGTCTTGGGGTATTATGCTCAGCCGGCTTCGTAGGTCATGAAGACCGACAGTTGAGATATCAATATTGTCTATGATTATTCTACCACTAGCTGGCTCGATCAATCGAAACAGAGCCTGAATCAAGGTGGATTTTCCACTTCCAGTACGACCCACAATTCCAATTTTCTTGCCGCCTGGAAATGTGCAAGTGACACCATGTAGCACAACAGGAAGACTCTCCTTGTAACGAACCTATAGTGGAGACAAATAAATAGGCATGTTATTTGATTAGCTTCTAATGTATTCATTCTTTCTGAATTCCTCTCATCCGTGCTCAAACACAAGCAAGATAGAAACATGCATTGATCACTTTTTGTGAGACGTGCCCAAAAAAATAAAGTAAAAGAACAAGTCATCTTCCAGAATCACAAATACTCCTCGAGGCTTGATTCCGTTTTACAGAAATGTCCCCAGTATTGTGCAACTTCTAACTGGAAACATGGGGGTAATTATATTATTACTGTGGAATTATTTTTCTTTTTTCTAGGATCTATCAATTGGTTCATGTAAGTATTTTTAGCTTCTTCCTTTTTTTTTAATTATTAATTCCCTTTATTCCTTATGTCCATTGCATATGGAACTGGAAGAGTCATTGTTGACAATTCTCCTGGCATAGTGCTGATAATGGACTAGATCAAAATGGCTCAATTAAATTCTAGTGTTTCTTCTATTAGTGAAGTTTTTAGAAAGAAAATATATCAAAGGACGCAATGCACCTTGGGTCGCTATGGAAACAGCCTCCTTGTATAATTAAAAAGGTAAGGTCTGCGTACAACTGACCCCCCAGACCCCAACCTGTTGGGAATATACTGGGTATGTTGATGTTGATGAATTCCCTTTATTCCTTCTTTACAACCGGGGAAATTTTAATGTAGGGCTTATTTTTTGGTATTGTAACTTTCTCAATTGAGGATTTCAATTTTAAATTATTCTCAATTGAAAGTCTACTATTACACTCTATTTCTCAATTTAAACCAAAATTTATTTTAAAATTTATATTTTTAAATAATTATAGAATCGTTAGTAATATTATCTTAGTAAGAAAACAAATTCATTTATGTTACATTTATGCAAAAGTTTAATGAAATTTACATAGAAATAAAAAATATTGAAAATTAAATTTAAGAATGTATAATTCAAATATTATATTAATTGATAATATAAGTATGTAATAAAAATATAAAATCAAGTATTTAAAAAATTAATGTATTATTTCAAATTAATATTATTGAAAATATTATTCACATATAAGATTATTATTTTGAAAATATTTACAAATAGAATTATTATTTACAATAATACTATTTTAAAATATATTATCTAAATATTATTTTTATTTACTTTTATTTATAATCTAAATATTATAAATAAAAAGAAACTATTTAAAGTTATTCTAATTTTTTTCTAAGTTTGACTATTGATGATTCTAGGAACTATGAAATATATAAAATCAATTGTGAAGCTTAGAAAAAATAAAATACTTTTCTAATTTTATTAAATATTAAGATATCATCAATACAATTTTATACTTAACATTTCATTTTCAATTTTATGAACTTTTAAAATCAGTTTTGCTAAACTTCTGCATAAATGTAACTTATATGAATAATTTTCTTACTGAGTTAGTTTTACTAAGATATTTAATATACTTCTTATAAAAAGTATTAATTTATATATTCTTATTTTTTCAAAATAAAATTTTATTCACAAATAATATTTTCAATAATTTTGTTTAATCTATTCTCCTGTGGGGAGCGTTCTTAGTTGGTGTGTTGTTGTTTTGTTTTTAGTTGTGTGATGTGTGTTTCTATTCTAGCGTGGCTAGCGAGGATCTAGGCGGTCATTCGATCAGTCCTCCCAGTTTCTAGTTCCGGGTTGTATTATTCAGCCTTGGGCTGCTTTCTTGCACAATTGTGCGTTTTGATATATATTATCTCTATCGTTTCGAAAAAAAAAAAAAAAAAATATAATAATTTTGTTTAGAAAAAAAATAATAATAATTTTTCTGAATAGTTCATTATTTAATGTTATTACATATTTAGATTAAATACTTTAATTATACATTCTTAACAATTTAGTTTTCAATATTTTTTAACTTTTAAAATGAATTCCATAAAGCTTTTGCATAAAAGTAAATGATATGAATTAATCTTCTTATAAGGTAATTTTACTCAAGATATTTAATATTTTTTATTACAAGTATTAAAAATATAAATTTTGAAATAATAGTAATTTGGTTTACATAATTATGTCAAAATACAAAGTTAGTTGGTGTCGAGTAGAATGTAAAATTTGATCTTAATTGAGAACAACTGAACAAGTTAAAATTGAAACCCACAATTGAGAAAGTTGAAAATTCACACCCTATTGCGCCACAATACCGAAAAATCAAGCCCTATAATAGAATTTCTCCCTTTACAACCTTTTCCATGCAATCAGGAAATATAAGATTTAAACGGCTTTTTCACAGTTAAAAATAGTCTCTTTATACCTTTATGCAACATCGGAAGGAGGACAAGTTTTACTCATTTTAGCCAATGGAAACTTTCACTTTTACATGGACAGTACCATATCCCAAAACCACAAATTAACATCAGAAAGTAGTAGAGTTTAGAAGATCCTATAACATACCTTTAAATCAACTAGTTCAATCGTGCCATTTTCAGGCCAAGTTAGTGGGGGCCGTGAGTCATCAATGAGTGCTGGCGCTTCACTAGGTATTTGGCAATACTGATGAATCCTTTCTATAGAGATGATTTTGTTTTCAAGCTTGCAAAAGCTGAGTATCCACCGAGATAAACGTGCATTCAAATTGAGGCCGTACGTCACAGCAAGACCTGCCATACCTATGAAGGAAAAAGATCTTGGATAAGCCAGAAATAGGTAAACATTTATCCAACGGTTCCATTTTTTCTTTTTTTTTTCACTTTTTTGAAAAAAAGGAAGCACCATAAAGCAGGGCTGGGAAGGTTGTCATAATATCAGCATACGATACTTCTCTTTTTTTCCTTTACTTTCTTGTGACTAGGTCAAACCTTAAAGGATGTGGTTATCCTGACAAATAATAAAAGAAGTAACACATTCCCAGTTGTTCATTATTTAAATGGATATCTATACATATAACTCTCAAGTTTGGCCAAATTATTGAAAAATAAAAAGCTAAATTTGAAAATTAAAAATACTTTGCATCTCAAAAATTTTCCCAACCGCTAGTTAACATGACAGAATTTGCTGATGTTATCACATAATTTACAATTATACACCACAAAATTTGGAAAAAAAAAAGGTATATTACAAATACCTCCAATTTTCATGTGACTATCTGCAATTTTTCGGAAATTCGAGGGATATAGAAGTAAGGGATTTGTTTGTAAAATTATTTGAGGTCATCAGCAATTTCCATTAGTTCCACCAACAGCATGCAAAAATATAGGAGGGGTGGAACCTCTACGGCGATTACAGTAATCTACGAAAGTTTAACTGGTGATTCCACCAAACCTCATTAGTCACTTCTATTATTATCCCCTTTCACAAATTATCTAATTTTAGGTTCACGAAACTATCAAGCACAAACATGCCAAAGATCAACAGGATAGGGATGACATACTTGGGTCTATAGCTCCATGAGGGAAGCTCACAAGTAAAACCATACAAAAAGCAAACACAACAGTCGAGAGTAACTCCATCCTCAAGCAAAGCCACTCGATTGCCGCCAGACTGCAGAAAAACGGCCGAGCAAAGCAATCCAGAAGATAAAGATTCCTCTTTATAAATCTTTTTTCCTGCCCGAAACCTCTGATGGTAGCTGCCCCAGCAATTGACTCAGCGAAAAGATGAATTACTGGCGATTTCTGGATGCTTACAATGCGAACCAATTCTCGGGATGAGGCCATGTAGTATTTCTGCATTTTTGTTAGTAAAACATTGTGAATTTCATACACATACAATGTTTTTGTTGGTTAAAATGGCAAAAATATGAAACAACTCTAGAGTATAATGCCTTATTCGTGCAAAGACGCCCATATATCGGCACAACATAGGATTGTAACCACAGGTGTAATACTAATTGACGAGATTTTATTATAGTTTACCTGCATCCACAAACAAGCAATAGCCATTGGGATAACGAGAAGCAAAATTTGCCAGGTAACTTGCGTCATCACACCAACAATGCCCAGAAGTTGGATAGTTGTCGAGGCAAAACCACCAAGTCTGAATGGAATATCAAGATCAACAACACTTTGATCGATCGACACCTGATCATAAAAAATCCAGAATAATGACCAAAATTATTGTGTGCTGTAAAAGGTACTACCTATCGACCCTTGGAAGCATAAAGTCCAAAAAAACAGAGGGGTTAACTACATGACTACTCTGGGGTTTAGCCCAAAAAAAAAATCAAATTAATTAAATTACGAATATACCCCTTAAATGTTAGAAACACCCCCTTCGGATTTGCATTTACCCTAACAAAATCAAAAGGGAAATAGAAAACAAGAGTTGCCTTACTGAGGGTATAATTGTAAAGGAGAATGCAATTAACAAGGTGGAATGGAAGTATCTGTAATCATTGCAATAACTTGGAACCTTTTCGAAATCGGCTAACCTAATACCAAAAACGAGAAAGAAAAAAGATAGAACTTTCTTAAGAAAAGACAATTCATACCCGATTCAGTATGCGCCCGGCTGGCGTCGAGTCAAAGAAAGACATGGGAGCCCGAAACACCGTCCTAAGCATCTTCAGAAACAACTTCTGTGCAGCCGCAAGCCCAAAAGTTGCCACCAGAACGGCCCTCACAAATATAAACCACGAGCTCCCAAAGGCAAGAGCCATATACACCACAAGAAGCACCATACTGCTCGTCCTGGGCTCGTCATCGGCCGTCTGCGGATTGGCCCATGCCATCCACCAGCTACTCGCTATCTGAAGGACCTGAAACAAAGTCTGAGCTAAAATAATACAAGGAATCAATAGTCCCTTGTATGCGGCTGTCATGTAAGACCAGTACACTTTCATGCTGACTCGTCCCCTTTCGCGTTCCTCCTCCTGGACGAGCTGTTTTCTTCTAGAACGTTTAGATTTCTTTTTTTCCTTGATGGATTTTTGGCTGGATGTCGAGGGCACGCCTTGCGGTGCCTCATCAGCCATGGAAGAGATGTTTTGGCCGACAGAACTGCATTTGTCGCTCATGAGTGAGCTGTCGTGCCTGTCTAAGTCCACGGGTCCCTGGCTGGAGAAATCCATGGCCTCGATGGCTTCGTGGTGGGCACAGACCAGTGTGTTAAAATCTGTGCCCGCTTGGAGAAGTTCATCGTATTTTCCAGCTTGAATTATACGGCCTTCCTTCAAAACCTATGATGACATACGTGGATGTATATGTAATTAGGCATGGAAAATATAATAATTACCAAATTTAGGAATTTATGATGATTGTCGTCATTTTTTTAAAACAAAATTATCTTCATTTTCAATTATAAAGCTCCTATTATGGGATTCATTCCCTAAAGGTGCTGCTAGATATGTAATATTGGAATCTCCATGCACAAGGCTAATCATTTATAGACCTGGCACTCTTTTTTTAGTCTTCTGAGATTAATAAGATCTTTCACAAGGGAAGTAAGAAAAGAACATGCATATCTTCTCAATATTTCTAATAAATCTACAATAGATAAAAAGTCATTAGTCTATTCAACCAATAAATTAGTGATGATTACCATTATGAAGTAATTTTCCCAATTACATTAGCTTGCTGACTACGTTGTACAGCAAAAGGCCGTGAGACAAAGATGAGATGGTGACTCATAGAGCAAATATATTTTCATCTACAACTTTAAAGGTAAAGGAGAAAGGCAAACTGCAAATTTCAAAATGATAAAGCAATGGGCAGCAGTAAAGACAATACCAAAATCAAGTCAGCAGCAGGCAAGAATTCAACTTGATGAGTGACAAAAACAACAGTCTTCGAAGCTAGCGCCGTCATTATGTACTCCTGCAGTCAAACCAAAATATTCTTTAGCGGATCAACCAGCTAATCCAAAAATAAATAAATAAATAAATAAATAACAAAAAATGAAGAAAAATGTAAATGAAAAATTAACCTTAAATAATTCTGAACCAGTGTGTGCATCAACTGCACTAAAGGGATCATCAAGTAAATAAATATCAGCATCATGATACAAAGCTCGGGCCAGTTGCACCCGTTGCTTCTGGCCGCCACTAAGATTTATGCCTCTATCACCAATAATGGTTTGATCGCCATGTGAGAAAAGCTCCAAATCTTTCTTTAACGAACAAGCATGAATGACACTCTTGTATTTTGCCTTGTCCATCGGACTCCCAAACAGAATGTTCTCCTCTATATTCCCTGATTGTATCCAAGCAGATTGAGAGACATACGCAGCAGAACCACAAATTTTAACCTAAAAACAGACCCATAGAGGAGAAATGAGCCACAATCGATAAACTTCAAGGGCTTTTGCAGTATTATTTCTAATTTTTTCCTCTTTTTTTATCTTTTTCTTCGTTTTTTAGATTTCCAGCCATTCCAGAAAATGAAACGCACCCAAATCTCAATAGAAATTGAATCATTTACAGTGTTCAATTTTTATGCACATAGGACTTCAGGAAAATAATGAAACAATTTTTCACCACAATTGTGCAAATCTACATTGAAAAAACACTTTAAAACTAATAATACAACATATTGCCTCCATGCAGAGAAATCCATAAAACTAGTTATAACTACTATGGTCACACTGCCCTCACGAAAACCAATGAGTTTTCATATTACATTCTCAGTAATAGAAACTGTATATCCAGGAACGGTTAAATTTTATCCAACTCCTAATTCTTGCACTCATGGAAAAAATAAAAATGAGCAAAATTTGAGTACTTACCTCGCCTGATATTTTTGGAATCTCGCCGAGTATGCAGGAAAGGAAGCTTGATTTCCCAGAACCAACCACACCGCAAACAGCTACGCGCATCCCCTTCTCAACCCTGATCTGTATCCCCGATAGAGTCGGACTAGGAGAAGACGGGTCCCAACAAAACTCCCCATCTTTAATTTCAATAGCCACATGCGAAACACCCCGTGGCAAGGCCACTGTGGCATCCTCCTGAAGCTCCTCCTCATCCAAAAACCCAGTTATCCTATCAAGCGAAACCTTAGTCTGAGCCATCATCGAGACCAAGTCAGGAAAGTTCCTAAGTGGCTCCTGCAAGATCCGAAACGTTGCCAGAGCCGAAAGCACGCTGCCAGCTGTCAGCTGGCCGCCCAATAAGATGCAGGTGCCAAAAGTCACAGCCGAGACGAAAATTGGCGAGCTCCAAAAAATAAATGTGATAAAAGCCTGCGAGTAAAGCGCTTTCCTCAGATACTTAAACTCCACTGCCCGCATCTCCTCAAGAATCAGCCTGTACCTATCCTCCCAAGCCTGCAGCTTGAGAATCCTCATATTCCTGAGGCACTCTGAGGTTTTTCTCATCCGATCGTCCTTTGCCGCCATTAGCCTGTCCTGGTAGTCCTCTTGAACCTTTGCCAATGGAACAGTGGCCACAATCGACACAATAGTGGCAATGAGTGTGGCCACAGATGCAATTCCCACGTTTTTGTACAAAATCGCAAGCGCAAGTATAATCTGAAGTGGGAGCATCCATATATCATGCAAGTACCAAGAATAGTCGCCCACTCTCTGGACGTCCACCGCCATGTAGTTAACGATTTCACCACTCGTGTGGCTTTGCCTGGCGGAGCTCGAGAGCCTGAGCCCCTTCCGGTAAACCATAGCCGTTAGGGACGACCTCACGTGCATGCCCAGGATATCAACCCCAAGGTACCACTGTCGGGTAGTCAGGGTCTCTACCAACTTGGCTGAGAAGAAAATAGCAGCAAGAATGTAGCCCTCATGCTTGAAGGCCTCCTTCCCTCCTAAATAGTCCACAAAGTAGCTGATCATGTACGGGCCCACATATGAGACTAGAGTGTTTACCCCAGCAAATACCGCATTACGTGCTGCCTCTTTCCAGAACGTCTTGAAAATGGCCCACGCTAAGGAAGACTGCTTATGGGGATTATCGGCTTTTAGCTTCTCCCAGTTCGAGTTCAGGCTTTTGTAGTTAGTCTTAGAGCGGTCCTTTGGGGCGAGCAACGGGATATCCTTGAGCTCAAGCGGCCTCTTTCCCCCGATCGAGAGGAGTGGATTTAGCCAAGAAAGAGTGGCCAAACTGAAAAGCCCAGCCTCGCTATAAGGAGTGACCTTTAGACAACCTGCATCCTCTTCAAGCAGTGGCTCCTGAAGATCAGAGTTTCTGATCACTTGAATACCTGTATCACCCCTGATAGCGACGAAACACAGAAAAGAAAGGGCGGGAGTAATTGCAAGATTCACAATCACATGAGAGTTCCAATGGCCCGATCCTTCAGTCATAAACCCTCTGCCATCAGCATATAGCATAGACAAGCCAGTGATAAACGACACAATCCACCAAATTCTCGACAAGAGGTAAAATTTCTCGGAAAGCTTGTATCGACAGTAAAGAGCCGAAAAGCTCAACACAAACCAAGCCAAGCTTTGAGAGGCTGGCAGCAGTATTGTAGTCCAATGAGCAGACGCCCTTATTAGGAGGATCCCATCATAACCCAACACAAAAACCTGTAACAGCAGAACATAAAAGCAGCAAAACACGGAAGCTTTATAGCTTCTATCAATCACAAGGCTCTGAATCCCATCATCACGTTGAAGGACGGTCCCACTCCCGACAGCCGCCTGGCCACGGCCCAAATTCTCCTTTCGAATTCGTATCCGGCCAAAACACAGAACAACCTGCCTCGCAGACACAACTGATAGGAACAAAAGGAGCAGAGTTAAGTTGATGCAAACTGAGGCCAATTCCAATACCGGGAGGCGGTGAATGGATCGAGGGAGATTGTTAGCAGCTTGGGATGTGGTTTTTGCAGCCAAGGGAAGATTGATACCCATAATAACAGCAATTTTGAGATACCAATCTTAATCGAATCAAGAAAATGGCGGAATTCAATGGCTAGCAACCAGGGGGCATTAGCTGCGCTATTATTATTAATGGGATTCAATAATAACGTCACCAGGAAAAGATCAAATCGTGTAAAGGGCATTTCACCATTTGGCGATCGGAGGCAATCAATTGCCCGAAACTACTGACAAGTCATAGAGAGAGAGAGAGAGAGAGAGAGAGAGAGAATGAGGAGAATCTGCACACGAAAACAAGATGTTAATCAAACCCCATCAACGAGACACCAACAGGCTATGGCTATGCAACAGTAAAGGGACAAAAAAAAAATTGAAAAAAAAAAAAAAAAAAAAAGCTCGTGTACATGTTTATCTCTAAAACACCTCTCGTTATTTTGTACTCTTTCTGCATTGTGGACAAAATACGTTTGCCAAAATTAAATTTTAAGCCAAACCCGTCATATAAAATACAAGAATCTGACCTGGGCTTAGAGTTAATTGCTCTGCAGATATCGTTTGGCGAGCCGGGGGTGTGATTTTCGAGGCAATGCGAAATAAAACGAAAAGAAAAACGGAGCATTCAAAGAACCAGCAAAATGCTACCAGCAAGGAGCTTCAAGAGATGGAGAGGGAGAGAGAGAAAATAACCCCCACAAACCCACTGGTAGCAGTGGAAATTTGGGAAATTAGGGCTGTGGTGATTTGATCAGGGAGGAAGGAGCTGCAATATGGAGCTACATGTGCATATATATAGCTGTAGCCGTGTAGGTTTGTAACAATATTTTTGTCCTGGAATCATATTTTTTCCTCTTTGAGATCATGAAATAGGGAAATGTTACGTCCCGTTACGGAATTATTCCGTCGAGATTTATAATTGTTAGATCATCATGTAATCGTCTGGATAGTTGATCTAACGATTACAAACTCCGATAAAGTGATTGCATAACGAGACCGTAGAATCTTTCCATAAATAATATATGCAAAAGTCGAAGCCGTTGACAAGATTATTAAAAAAGAGCCTTAAAGTTCGACTTGATGCTGCAAAAAGAGTCTGGCCAGAAGAGCTACCACATGTTCTATTGGCATATCGCACGACGGCGCGATCATCAACTGGGGAGACACCGTTTTCACTAACTTACGGAGTCAGAGGTCGTGGTTATGGTTGAACTCGGAGCTCCAACATACCGAGTTCAAAACTTCGACGAGGAATCCAACAGTGAAAATTTGAGAGCAAATCTCGACTTGACAGACAAATTACGTACGCGCGTCGAACTCAAAAACTCCGCTTACAAGCAAAAGAGCGAAAAGTACGTAAACATGAAGTTTAAACCGCGAACGTTCTGAGTTGGATATTTAGTCCTTAAAAGAATAACTGGTGCAGACCCGGGGCCACTCAAACCGAAGTGGGAGGGACCATTCAAAATCATGCAGGTGTTACCCAACGGCGCATACCGAATAGAGTATTCTGACGGTACACCCTATCAATACCTGTGGAATGTTGTAATCCTCAAGAAGTATTACCAATGATGTACTCAAATTTATGTAATATTTCCCTTTTGATGAAATGAAGACTTCCAAAAAAAAAAA